AAGCAGAAACTGCTTAATGTCTGTGTTGTTCATCAAATTACTTTGCTCCTATTTTGTATGCTTGTTGAAATACACATTTCTGCTCTAATGCTTCTTCCCAGCCCCTGTCTATGTGCACTTTGTCTTCTTTCCTTTTCTGTCTTTTCCAGCAATTTCTTCTCCAGGTTTATGTCTCTGAGTCTCATTCCACTCAGAACATGATTTCAGAGACCCTCTGGAAGTGTTTGATTTAACACAGACAGTGCTATTGTTTATCTTTTTGCTGATATCTTTTAGGAGCTTTATTTTTCCAAATATAAGAGTTTATATTAAGAAGTTAGACTAGAAATAAGACACTAGACCTATAACAATCATGTTCTTGTCAGCTATTCAACAAACCCAGTGTTACCTAACAAGCAATGTTAAAAAAATACTCCTCTGCTGTAAAAAATGAAAAACAAGAGCTTTCTTAGAAATTTGTATGATTTATGATTTCTTACACTCAAAAAAGAAAAAAAAAAGTATTAGAAAGACACTGCCTGAAATAAATAAATTAATATCAATTTTCATGATGCTCTTTTGTGGGTATAACAATTAGCACAATGGCTCTTCATTGTCATCCTGTTCCTGTGTTTAAAAGTAAGGACATTTCTGAAGAGTCTGGTCCTCAGTGTGATACTCTTGGGATGCATTTTTTCATTATTGAGGATATTTAGGCAACTCAGCATCAGGGCCCCAATTCCTTAGAAAAGAGAAAAATGTTTAAAAATTTAAAACTGTCTTCAGTATTTATCTCAGATCATAGAAATTTTCAGGTATTTATTTCCTTGTAAGCATCGGGGCTCAAGCTTCCTATTTTTCCCCATCCCAAGCCAAAATTCTGGTAGCAATGACTCCTTTAACTGGGTTTTCAGTGGAATAAACACGTAACACAATAAAACAGTGACTTCATAATTTGGGGAATTACATTTTAAAGGGGTTTTTTTCCCCCTTTGGAAACCTTTTACAAAAGATTCTGAAAACAAGTTGCAAAGGAGACTGTAACTTTCCTGATCATGAACACCAGTGTCATTTCTTTCCCTTCCCTTCTCTCCAGAAAGTACCCTTCTTTTGTGTCCTGTGTCCTTTGTCACAGACTACTGCTCAGGAGTTTGAGATTTCTCCTTTTTTTTTTTTATAGACAGGTTTTACAGATTAGTATCTTTGATCCTTGTAGCAAACGTTGGAATCCAGAGAAAACCCCGCCTATTTATGATTAATTCCCCGCAGTCTGAAATACTTGCTAATGTCTAACAGATCTGTGGCAAAAGCCAAATGTCATTTCACAACAGAACTCCACCCTAGGCCACAAAGTGGTTCTTAGCTGAGATCAAGCCATGCAAGTGTGAAAACCCCAGGTCCACATCTGATTACAGCAGATACATGGGAGGTATGAAGGGGACTGGCCAGATGCTGCACCATATGATGAACACCAAGGACCATGGCATACTATAAAACCAGGCATTTATATGGTACAGCTGGCCATGCATAATCTTCTCCTAATTTATAAGGCTGGAGCATCTGGTTCATTGCTGTTGCTCTATCAGCTTTTCTGGAGGCCTGTTCTTGAATTTCTGGTAGCTGAATATCGCTCTTCTGAGTGCCAGCAACATGGGAAGTTAAATCCATTTATAGTAGGAGATCAGCTCTCATTCTCTCTGGCAGATCAGATATCAGTTCAAACAAAGTCACGAAAGACAGAAGGGTAGGCCCTTGTGGGATGGGTTCCACTTCACAACAAAATCCACAACTGCAGACTCTAAAAGAATAATATCTATTTCTCACTGGCAGGACCCTCAGCCGTGACAGAGAGGCTTGGCCAGATGAGGCCATTGTGACAGGCTGTGGCCGTCCCTGCAGACATCCCTCAGCAGTGTGGCAGGTGAGAGCTCACAGAATAGGTCTCAATTTCTGCTTTTGTTACACTGCTTGATCTTTCCCTCCCAGCGCCATTGCCCTAGAAGTCAGCATTTCTCTCTTTCCTGAAACAGAAGCTGGCACCTGGCACCTGGCTTTTGGTTAGAAAATACCTGCTGTGTAAGTGACTAAAAAAACAAGAGACGAGTGTTCTCAGTTGGGTCTTGAAAACTTTTTGCAAGAAGGAGCCAAGTGAACAATGTGAAAGCATCCTGAACTAAATGGGGTGCACATGATCAACCCCCCTGTGCAGCTGTGTGCCAGCCTGGGTGGTTCTAGAGATGTGGACCCACAGCAAATGGTTTGCTTGTGCCCATGAGGAGAAAGAGAAAGGAGGGCTAGAACTCACTCTTCCAGGCATTTCCAAACTGACTTGTCAGCAGGAAAGTCCCAGCTATAGTTGTGGAGTTGTTAACAGCAGTGCAGCATGCACTCTAAGGCACAAAAATTAGTTTTTTGAAGTTACAGCATTACCGAGTCTACCTAGAAATTGAGTCCAGATCACTCAGCCTTAGGGGACGAAAAAGAGCAGCAGCAATCACTCTATCAAACCTTTCCCCAGTAAAATTACATGTCAGGACAGCACTGAAAGAAAATTAGCATTTCAAATGGAAAGGGAAAATTTGCTTTTGCAGAACATCATGGGGTTGGCAGTAATAAATCATGGTACTGTCAGAATGGGAGTGGGTTCCTGCAACTCTTGCACTGCTTTCTGTAAGCCTGTGTTGTTGCTGAGGAAGTGAAATCTGGTTAGCCCACAACTTAGCACACAACTGTGCAAGACTTCTTCAGATCTTTTATTGCTTTTCCCAGAATTCATGCTGCACATTTTTCACAATTTTATCAAATTGAAAAAATTTCAGGTTTCAAATGCCTTCATAGACCCATAGCATGGCAACTGCTCTATTTCTAGCTGGGTCTGAATACTGCAGGTACTCCTATGGCTCTGCCTCTTCTTTTTTCTCTCTCTCTTTTTTTTTTTTTTTATGTTCTCTATAATGCAGTATTATCCTCTGCATCTGACATAGGTGCAGTATCTGGAATTGTCAGAATCTGTTCTCTGATAAAGCTTTATCTTTGTGTAACAATGGCTACATGAGCTGCCCTAAGGAAATAAATGAATTTGAGAAAGAACTTCAATTACTACAGATACTGTTTTCAGGCTGTGAAAACCCACTGCTGAAATACAAGATAGACTATTCTTTAATTGTTTGCCTGGACAGTTTTTCTGGCCAGTGCAAGACAGGCAGCAGGATCTCACACTTGTCTTGGCACCAGGTATTGCACAGAGATGTAAAGGCTTGCTTCTCAAAAAATTCTTGCCTAAATAAAGAAACTGTGGGATATGAGTGTGCAAAGCAACTGAAAGAATTGAGAAAGGAGCAAAAAGGGAAATGTGGTGAAAGAAACCTGGTTTTATGGATTAGATGTGTGGATATGGCTGGATGTCTGCAAACCTAGTTGTCCCAATATACCATGTATTATAATCAGGTGGTGGAAATATTTATCATGTGATGACCTCTTTCATTCTGTTAAAGGCAAGAGTGACCAGCATTAACTTCCTTAAACATAGCCTCTTCCCAAATGCCTACTGCCAGCATCCTGAAGCGGCTCTCAGCTCTGATGCCTCCAGGGGAGGTGCTATTGACAGACCATGAAAAATGCTTTGGATTTGGCTTCAGAGAATTCAATGTCTGTTCCTTAAACTGAATTGATCCACCTTTGTGTATGTGAATTAAGGGAAAAGTGGATAGTGATTATGTAGCTGGGACCTCCATTTTCCCAGGGCTTTCTTTTCCCTTTTGTGTCTGGGCCACTCTCACCTCCTCTCATTTAATCTGCAATAACAGAACATAGTCAAGTACTGAGATTCTCATTACTTACAGACCTTGCATATCTGCAAAAGCTAATTCACCCCTCCCTCCTGGAGTGGCTTAGTGAGTTCCTGCCAGACCTTGCCCATTTTTTTCCCTTGTATGGTTAAGGGCTAAAATAATCAGAATTCCCAGGTAATGGTCAGCATTCAGTCACCATTTACTGTGAAATGGCTAAAATTGAGGTCACAGAATCACAGAATTCTTAGGTCTGAAAGGAACCTCTGGAAATCATTCAGTCTATCCTCCCTGCCCAGGCAAGGCTACCTAGGGGTGACACAGGAACGTGTCCAGGTGTGTTAGAATGTCTCCAGAGAGGAAAACTCCATGACCTCCCTGAGCAGCCTCTTTCAGTGCTCTGCCACCCTTAGTGGAAGGAAGCTTTCTCACATGTTGAGGCGAAAATTCTTGTGTTTTAGCCAATGGCCGTTGCTCCTCATCCTGTCACTGGGCACCGCTGACAACAGTCTGGCACCATCCTCTTGGCACCCACCTTTGAGGTATTTACATGCACTAATGAGATCCCTTCTCTCCTCTAGACTAACAGACTCAACTCCCTCAGATGCTTCTTAAAAAAGAGGTGCTCCAGAGCCTTCATCACCTTTGTGGTTCCCCACTGGGCCCTCTCCAGTCACATCTTGTATTTCTTGTGCTGAGCAGCCCAGAATTGGGCACAGCACTCCAGACGTGGCCTCACTAGGGCTGAGTAGAGGGTCAGGACCATGTCCCTTGACCTGCTGGCCACACTCTCCCAATGCAGCCCAGGATACACTGGCCCTCCTGGTCACAAGGGCAGTGCCAGCTCATGGTCATCCCCCAGGTCCTTCTCTGCCAATCTGCTCTCCAGGAGGTCAGTCCCCAGCCTCTGCTGGTACTTGGGGTTATTCCTCCCCATGTGCAGGACCCTACACTTGGCCTTGTTGAACCTCATTATGTTTGTCTCCACCCAATTTTCCAGCCTATCAAGGTCCCACTGGATGACAGCACAACCTTCTGGTTTATCAGCCACTCCCCACAGTTCTGTTTCATCAGCAAACTTGCTGAGGGTCTCTTTCCTTTAACCATCTTTCACTGAATGGAAAAGAAGATCTTTCCTGTTTTAGTTTACATTCAGTCCTGGCTAATCACATACTGGTTTCACTGTGGGAAATATTATGTTGAGGGCTCTACAATGACACTGTGAGCATGGAATTACGCCTGTATTGCACATTTCTTAATTTAAAAGAAGGACACTTTTTTTCATTTGCTGTTGTAATCATTGTAGAAAACATGAAATATCTGAAACTTCTATTTTATAGATAGTATTTTAATTTCAAGACTTAAAATATAAAACCCCTAGAAGCAATCTTAAGGATATTTCCACAAAGACTTTTTCATAGTTTTATTTTTATATTACAAGTCTTTTTACCTTTGAAAATGCAAATATATACCATCATAAATTGTAATACAGGACATACTCCTTGACCTTCATGTAGCATAAAAGGATTGTGATCAAATAATCAAATAATTTAATGCAGCAAAGGTTAGTTTAAACAGTATCCAAGTGTGTATTCCAGACATAGAGAGCAGATGTTGATTTACAGCTGGCTGGACCTGTGATGGAAGGCATCTTCTGTCATTGTCCCTGTAATGGGGAAGAGAAAGAGAATTGCTGCATTTAAGCTGGGTGGTATTCAACTGAACTGACATTCAACACATGCCATTCACCTGCATCTGTCCTGTCCCTCTGCAAGTTGTTTGGAAGTCCAGCTCTAACCTGAGTTTCCAGCTCTTTACAGTACAGGCCAAGCAAGGAGAAAATGGAGGCAAGTCCCCTAGAAAGTGACTCCCTCCTTAGCCTAAACCCAGTGACCAAAACTCGAGAGACACCAAAGATACATATCATAATATAAAGCAGTAGAAAGGAAAACTTCTATAATTTCAGGGTACAGAACTGAGAACAGAAGCCCAGGTTAAAATTGACACTTTTCCAGTTTTCCTCTCTTACCCCAAATCTGAGCCTGCTAAGACTAATTTCAATGAAGTCAAGTTTGGTTTAGGTCTTTGTACTCTCCATGCCTTTGTACCTGCAAGGCAGGATTGATAGCACATATTTTGGCTAGGCATATGATATGTGACAATAGCCTAGTGATTGATGTAAGTAAAAAAACTAGATTTTTCAGATCAGCTAGTAGAGATAATTCTTGCATTTGGCCCACTGGAACTCATGACATTTGAGAACTGATTTATTTTTAAAAACACTACACTAAAGAGTGTCCATGAAAAGGGGACAGGCTCATTTTAATTAATCCATCACATCAATTCCTGAGCAGAAAAGGCTGGCAGAGCTTGCAGAAGACTTGCATGTTAATAAAGTTGGAGGTCACTCATTTTTCTAGTTAATTATTAGTTGACAAGAAAGCATTTATGAAAGCGATGCTATGTATAACTATTTAACTATACTATGTACAACTGTTTAAAGAAAGGGAAGAAGCAGGTATTTCAGAGGACATGCAAATGATTATCTATCCCATTCCTCTGATCATCTTGGCCTTATCATTCTTATCTGGTGTGCATCTGAGATTGTGTAAGTATTCCAGCTAATATTGTCATGTGGGATGGCAGTTTCTATGACACACTTTTTTCTCTAATTTTGGAGAGTGTCTGCCTTTGGTGAAGGGATAGATCTTTACTTCCAGAGTCATCTCCAGTTTCAGCCAGTGACTTACCTGTCCCAGAGGTGCCAGCCCTGTCACTGCAGCACGGTGCATTGCCTGCTGCTGTAGGCACTGCTGTGGTCCAGCAGCGGCATGTACATTTTAGCCACGATGCAGTAGCTGACTCCAGGCCTCAAATCTTCTATTTTAACAACCTTGTCTTTCCCTTCATACACCAGGACCCTGTGTTGCTTTATAGACAGTGGAAAAAGAAGAGCGAGTCAAGCACATTTCCCTAGCAAGTGTGTCTGTGAGAAAAGCTTGATGAGAAGAGAGGATCCAGAACAGCACGTGTACTTACACAAATACAACAGCATTAATAACTTATTTATGCTTTTTTAAGAAAATTCTCTTCCCCCCCCCAAATTCCTCTCTAGTGCCAGTTTTTTTAACTAGGTTATAGATTATGAAGTATTAAGTTGATGGAAAACAATAGAGGGAGGAATTCCAAATCAATTCAATCAAATTCAATTCCTGAAAAATAAGCCTACTTTGTTTTCAAACACTTGCACAGTCATCGCTGCTCCCACAATCCCAGAAGACTGTTTCAACAGCAAAACAAGTATAGTGTGCCCACACTTTTCTGGCTATTCAATGATAAAGGGTTCATATCTGAATATACTCTTACCTCATCTAGCAAGTTGTTAATTATGAAGACTTGATACAGCAGCTCATAATAATTTGTCATTGGTATTTTGCTGCCTCTCTTCCTTCTATAAGGAGAACGTGGAGCCTGGAGCTTTACTGTTATGGATTTGTTGCTATGAACCACAGTTACCATTGGAGGTCCTATCATAGCTATAGAAAAAAAAAAGCAAAGCTATAAACACAATTATAGTTTATGAATAATATTTCCTAGAATGCAATTTGAATCCATTCAACAAATGCTCATGTTACCAACAATATATCATGCAATATTTACTCCTGAAGCGACACTTTGTAAATTCTTACTTCTTGGTGTTTATTTGGTTTGGTTATTGTTATTTTGGAGGTGACATTTCCTGTGTTTGTAAATCTGTCTTTGAGCCAAACTCTTTGAAATCCCTTAGAGCTGATGTTGCTATGTGCTGACTGGTCAAGCAAAATTTAAAAATTGCCCTGATTTTCTTCTTCCCTCATATTTGTCTCTGTGCTTTCTGCACAAAACATCCATTTAAACCACTTCAGCTGTGCCAAAGATGCAGTTTACACCACCACTTTCAAATATTTTGCAACTGGCTTGGTTAAACACAGCTAAGGCTTGAAGCCAGTGCCTGCATACATGTGTGTGTAGCACCAGCAATGTGGGGACACAGGCAGCAGCTGCCACACAAATCTCTCCAGGAAGAGGAGGTGGCACAGACAAGATGTTCTGGTTTTACTGCAAGGTACTTCTTTATGTCAAAGCTTGTTGTTTCATCTGTGCAAGAGGCTCAAGGTGGTTTGCACTTCAGGGCTGTGGAGTGACCCACACTGACAATTTGATTTTGCATTGGCCAGTGAGGGAAAATGGGTTAATTCATGGTGAACTTGCTGGTAGGTAGACTGCTACTCTTCAGTGTTTGGGCACTCTGTTTCTAACATGCTGTGGCACTACAATGACAGTGCTAACCAAAAGCTCTGCACATGTCCTTTCTATGTCCTATCCTGCAGTCAGGATAACACATAAATGTGAGAAGAATAGACACACCACACAGTGTGTGTTCTCTCTTCTCCCTCCAAAGAAAATATGCTTCCTTTTTTATTGTCCTAAGCCCTGTCTTTCCAGCAGCTCCAAAAATGCCTGAAAATTATTTGTGTACTTCCATGCCCAGAGGAAGAGGTTAAATTAAAGGGATCTTTTGATCTCCTAATTACTGGTAAATGGCTATTTAGCCATAATCACTTGGCTTTCAAGTGTGTGGAGAATTACTCTGGCAGAACACTTCACCTGAGAGCTATTGACTCACTTCTTTACATACAGCTTTGTGGCTAGAAATGGATAACTCCTGTTTGCAAATTGTGAGCAGAAATTATGTGTTCCATGCCAGGGAAGATCAAATTCCTTCCAGGGGACATGCACTTACTTTCTCGCCAAGGAGTGAATCTGCAGCTGAGGCTCCAGTCGGAATAGACACCAGCCAGGGCTGCTCTCACTCTGCTGTAGTAAGGCTCCTGGACGTCAGAGGTCTCACGTGTTAGGTCACAGACATGGCTTGAAATCCCCCAGCACTCATGCTTGTTTTGCCAGGTGCTCTGCCCATACCTATGGAAAAGAGGAGGAAGGATGTAAATTTTAGGGATCATCGCCTGTGTCCATGCAGATTCTCAGCCATCTGTTTTACTCTCGTGGCCATGGGCAAGCATCCTGCCATGGAAATTAACTGCCTTCAATTTGATAACAGGGAAGGTTAATTTCATGGGTGTTTGGGAACTACAGATTTCTGTCCTTTCTGAAAGCAATCTAAAGCAGAGACACGAGTCACCAGCCTTGTCAGAAGCCACCTCTTATCTGCCCCATGGGAGAGGTGGGCAAGCTTTGGCTTAGCCAGTGTGTTCACTGATGGGAAGAATGCCAGATTTCACCAAATGATTCCTCAAGGGCAATAATGATTGCAGGCACTCACCAGTGTGCCAGGGATGGAGCAGATCCTGGAGACCAGCCCCTAATGTTGCCTCAATCTTTCCATGCAAGGTACCCTGAGACAGTGCTGTGGGCAAGGTAAGCCACTGAAATACCTTTAATGTTCTATTACAGAATAACTTGACCTGGCTAGACCTGCTTGAGGCAGGTGGCTGGACCCAGTGACTTTCAGAGGTCCTCTGCAAACTACATTTTGCTTCAAATCCCTGGTGCAATGAGGGTGCAGAGCATGGTGCTGGAGGTGCTTACTCCTTGCCCACCTCGTGCTGCTTGACTGCACCTTGTGGGATTGGTAAGTGCAGAAACAACTGAGAGCTGGCAGCCAAGCAGGACGTGGCTGTTCCCCAGGAATGAGAACCTCCTGTCACCTGAGAAGTCATTTTAGCCCCAGCAGGGCTAAGCCCCAGCACAGTGGGAGGCTCTGGTACTTACACTTTATACTGCACAAAGTAGAGCGCATCTCTTGCCTCTCTGGCCCACCCAGGCTGCCAATGCAAAGTGGTGTTGAAATTTAACGAATGGAACTCTACCTTCTGTGGCTTAATCGAATCTTGCAGGTCTTGGTTTTCCAAAACTAAAAGCGCTGCAGACAAGAAGGAATGATAACATAAGGTGCTTGTCACAGACACACTCCTCCACATTGGAATCTGAGAGTATTGCTACAGACCATTTTTTTTTCATGACTAGCAGACCACAGGGAAATTAAATCTCCTGGATCTCACATTCAAAACTTTCCAAGTCACGAAGTCAAGCAGTTACAAAAAAACCACCTTTAGAACTATGAAAGAAATACTTTTATGTGGTCTGAGTGTTTGAGTTGGGGCTTTTTTTGCTGTTTGTTTTGGGTTTGTTTGTTCTTTCATTGTTATTTTAGTTTTCTTTTTCTTTTTTTTTCTTTTTTGTTGGTTTATTGGTATATTTTTCCTTAGTGAGTTTGCTGCTGTGAAAGATGCTGCACAACCATCCCAGGAAATAAACCCTTCAGATCTCTTCACAGAGTCTGCAGTGAGCATCCCATCAATACTTAAAAGTCAAGTGCTCTTTACTACACAACTCAACTTTAACCTGAAGAGATACAGCTCTTTTAACTGTTGCCACAGTCATGTTTACCAGCTCCTGCCTATTAAACAACCACCTAAAATTCACTTCTTTTCCTGTCTGTACCACTGAGACAGTGGAAAAGCTGTCTGACAGTTTTCAAGATCATCTCTTTTCAAACTGTTATATTATTTATAACAGATTCAGTTAACAACCTCTCTGAATCATTCAAACCCTAATATTTTTGTGGGTTTTACAAACCAGATGACAGCAGCTTTTACCCTGGCATAGCACAGAATCAGATAAGACTTGTACTGGCTGAACTAAAACTCGTAATACAACCATGAAAAAATCTAATGGGAAACACGTTCATTTTATCTGCATTTCGGAACCTGGGAAGATAAAATTACAAACTAATTTGAAAGTGACTAGCTTTTGAAACCCACCAAAGGATACAGAGATTTCTTGACTCATCCAAAAATTCAATAACAAGCTCTGTCCTCCCACCCCTTCCCATACAGAAAAAGAGCAAAAAGCCCTTACTTACAAGTTGTCTCATCCTGAAGCAGGTGCATCAGTAAGCAGAGGAAGGAAAGCATGATCCTCCTCATGCTTAGGAGAGCAGCTCCATGACTGAAAAGCACCTCTCTTCCTCTTGGGCATGTCCTATGAGGAAGTAATTGTTAAGCACTCCAGAGTTCCCCTTATTTTCAGTGGTTTCCAAATTCCCCGGTTTGGCTTTGGTTTAATTTAGCTGCAAAACATATGAGTAGCTCTAAATTAAACATGACCAATTGTTCTTTCTTGGCAGCTGTGGTCATGCAGAGTTTGGAACTAATTATGAACCAAGCCATTATGACAAAGGTCCTCTTTTTAAGACACTAATTCCCACATGATGTCTGCCAATATTGCTTTACCCCATAAATTTGTCACAGAAGACTTTCTTGTTTGCCATGCTAAGATTTTTAATATTTTAATTTTTATTTATTTATTTATTTGTTTAATTATTTTCAGTTCACTAGTTGCTCAGAGCTGAAGAACACAAAAAATTTTGCTCCAAAGATATAAAAGACCTACCCATGGGATGTGCTTTAGGTTTGATGGACTGCCTCTGGGCCAAAAGCAAGAGCTGGAATTTGCAGGTATGCTGGTGGCAGGACATCATCTAGGGGGCTGTCGCTGGAGGAATGAGGGGCTCTGAAATCACTTCTGGCTGTTGGGCAGCATATGCTGGCATCATCCCATGCTGGCTGCAGGGGAGATGCTGGGATGCTGGGGAAGTTGTAGGACTGACAGCCTCCAGACTGGAATTAGGAAGATAAGCCCAGCCCACAGGGCAAAGTGCCACTCTGGGTTGGACTTTCAGACTGCTCGGAATCGTATGCCCCAATTGGTGCAGGTGTGCTGCAACACTGCCTGCACAAATATTGCCATTTGTCAGTGTGTGTTATCCTCTGCATCCTGCCTGCCCAATATGTCCATCCCTACAAGCTTGACTCCAGGGCTGGGGACGCTGGGGCTCTCTGGTGGGAAAAAAATCTCACTTTGTTCTTGCAAATGCTTTAATGCCACGTGCACGTCTGCCTGGTGGGAGATGTGTTTTGTGCTCCCGGGTAGTGTGGAAAGCTCAGACAATTCTGTTGCTGGTGGTGAACATGAACACCAAGCTACTGCCTAGGCTTGCCCCTCACTCTTCCCTCCCGAAAGCTCCCCGATGCTGACACCCACTGGTACTTCACTGCTCATGCACTAGTGCAGCTCAGCAAAAGTCAGGATGCTTTCTCTCTGCAAACTCATGATGGTAAGCAAGAGGAGAAAAATACTAATTTTATAAGACTTAGTGAAGCCCTGTGTAACAGCTTTCACAAAAGGAGTAATTAATGGATGTGAAGACTACCTGTCTACTAACAAATAATTGTTATGAAATCATCTTTACTTTGGGAAAATGTGGAAACAGAAGACTTGTCAGGTCAAAACAAGTGCAAGTTCTGATCCAAATGAACTTATTTAAAGGCCACTAGTTATATTGAACAAACTGAACAACACCTAGTCAAGAAGCTGATTTTGGTCAGATAGATGGGCACAGGGTCTCTGTTCAGCTGATCACCTATATCTCATTATACTAGCACCAAACCTGCTCCATATATAGAAAAATGCTAACTGTGTAGCTTTGAATAATGAATTAGTCAAACCAATTAAGGTAATTAAAGAACTGAGAAAAAATGAAGGAAAACCCCCCCACCAAAATGCAGGCAGAAGTCAGAAATTCTATCTCCAGCTGCAGATTTTTTGTTTATCCCTTTCCCCATGGAAATGGATCCATTAAAAAAACTTTAAATAGTTTATTTACTTTAAATAGTTCCCCACACCAAACTCAATTGGTATTTCATCATGTTATATGAGCTCAAGTACGGGAATAGGGAACTTTTACAAACCAATCACTAGACTGAAAAGTCATCAGTGTTTAGTCACAGGTCATGAATTTGTTTACTTGAATTGTACACACCTTCCCATATCCCAAGAAGGAGCCCATTGCCAGGAGATGAAGTGTGGACCTTTGTCAAAGTTCCTTTTGATGGTGGCTCCTCCTAGCAAAGCAGAGCTGAGGGCCAGCCTGCGGGCACCAGTGAGTTTTGCTCGGAAAAGGCTGCTGTGTGATGTGGTGAGATGGGGCAAGAAATGCCTGTCACATGGGTGCTGGAAAACACCCAGGGTTTCCTGCACACTGCGCTCCAGAGTGTTTTATCTGCAGCTGAGCTCGGCGCTCTGCAGTAATCAGTAACTCTTCACATACTTTCTGTTGTCATTGAAACAGCCGCTGTTGCAATAGCAGGCTAATAGCACCTGTGCTACTCATTGGCCTCAGTCATTTATGTGATAAAAATCACCACAACCACAAGGACCTGCTGCACACACACACACATGCAGACATGTACATGCATGTATGCCTGCAGCCTCACAGAATACATATATATACTGCATATACAGTGTATATATAGTGTATATAGCACATTTTAAAATGTAAACTATTGAGGAACACAGGACGATGCACACTGCAGTGCTATTTAAAATATGAGAACTCCTATAAACAATATTAAGGGTACTCTGAACAGTACTTCATGAAGAAATGGAAAGTTGAAGTGTATTATTTAGGCCAGCAGAATCCACATAAGTAGTTATGCTACTAGCTCATCCTAGCTTACACTGCAGCATCTTTCTGATCCAAACCACTGTGAAACAGCAGAACTGATATTTTTGTGACCCAACATAGAAAACCACGGGTATGAAAATTTTTTCCATTGCTGGAATAGAAACCTATCTGAATGCTGTGTAAACAGCTTGCTTTCTCTTGAGGACAGATTATTTTTACACACAGACTTTTACACACACTTTTACACACAGTAAAGTCAAGTATTTCTGCTGAAAGCTGCTTGGCTCATTTCATTAGAAAGGACCACCTCCTTGTTACTCCTTTTTTTTTTCCTTTTGCCCTTGAAAGAGTTGTTTCCCATACATAAGAGAGGAAAATGTAACCCTGAAACTGCTACTGTAGCACCACCTTTGGCTTTTCAGATGCGAGTCTGATATTTGCAGTGGTTGTGAGGGTCAGTTTTGCTTACATGCCTGGATGAGGATGTGGGAAAATGAAGAAAGCATATGCAAAGCATACAGGGAAAACTTCTAGTACCTGCCAGAGGCAAGGCAATTCTCTCTCGTGTGTGGCATTTCACACAAAAATAAAAAATGTGAGTGGTTCACGTTACTCTGAAGACTATTCGCAATTGGAGCCACAGTTTTCAGTCTTTTCTAAACAGCCAATGGACTCAGAGGAAAACCTGTCTTGGGAGGGGACTCTGGAGGACATTCCATCCAGCCTCAGCACAGGGATAGTGCCAATTTTATCCCACTGTTAACCACTTTTAACTTGAATTTCCTCCTGCATATCCTAGTGGGATTCCTCTGCTGCAATTTATGACAGATGTTTTTTGTGCTTTTATTGTGCTTTTACTCCAGATCTGCCATTTCTGCAAATGCTACAGTTTGCTATAGTTGGCAATTAGATTCCTCCCAAGCGCTACCTCTCCTGTCTGAAGGGATCCAGCTCCCTCAGCTTCTTCTGGCACGTGATGTGCAGCAGGACAGCCCTTCACCAGCTCAGTGGGGACTGGGAAAGTGAATCACTACACTGCACACAAAAATTAAAATGAAAGCAAAGAAAACCCCTATAGTCAGGCAGGAGGGACTTTTTAGATTTTTCTTCCCTGCTCTGTAGGGAAGAGACATTGCATCACACGAGTTCTTGCTGAGAAGTTTCTGAGGAAGCAAGGCAGACTTTCACTGCACAGTGTGTGCCTTCCCTGCTTTTTGCACACTGGCTTCATCTCTCACTGTTAAAGAGCTTGGGTCAACATTTTAAAGATTGCAGTTAGAAATTCCAGCTGCATCTACATAGGGAGACTTTTGACCATATTAAAGATGAAGATCTCCTGAAGGCTCAAAAGTAGCAAGTCATCATTTGCACATGCAGTATTTATTTAACAATGTGCGACACACTGATGTGACCGGGAAGTTAGTAACCAACACTAACATTCATTAGGAACTGAAATTAATACCAACCCCCAAAATAGCTCCAAGTCTTTCATTTAAATGACAAGTTCCCTTAAAATTGTCTGTTTTTCTCACTTGCAAAGCCATAGAATTATATTTTTTCCTACCACTGAGTGCTGTAGCTTGTTTAAGCCCATTAAGACACACTTTTTAGGTTGTGGATCCCTCACCAAATCATCTGCAGACAAAAAACTACCAACTTCGAGACATGTGAAATTAATATTCCAGAATTAGTTGGTTTTTCTTAGGTAATCTTCCTAGCCTAGTAAAGGTGCCAAGTTTTAAAATTGTCTGTTTTTCTCACTTGAAAAGATATAATAGAATTATATTTTGTCCTACCACTGAGTGCTGTAGCTTGTTTAAGCCCATTAAGACACACTTTTTAGGTTGTGGATCCCTCACCAAATCATCTGCAGACAAAAAACTACCAACTTCGAGACATGTGAAATTAATATTCCAGAATTAGTTGGTTTTTCTTAGGTAATCTTCCTAGCCTAGTAAAGGTGCCAAGTGCTCACTCAGCCAACAGAACCCACAAATAAAACTGGAGAGGTACATCACAAACATTGCTCATGCTTTCTTGGTCCACCTACTAAAGTAAAGAAAGGCTCAATTCTGGTAATGCCAATGCTCTCTGACACACTGCCACCAGAGGCAGCTGAGGCAACTCCTGATGTATTGGGTTTTTGGTTTTTTTTTTATTATTTTATTTTTTTTTAGTAGGGAGTGGTTCGAAGCCTCTGTGTCTAATCATCAAGTCCAGACGACACTGGGCTGACTCAGCACATGGCACAAGAAGGGCAAGGGGCTGGCAGGCCTGCACTTGGGAAAAGACACACAGAACTGGGATGCCAACCTTCACATTTGTCATCAAAAATTGGGCTGCAGAAGGAGCAAACACTTCTGGAAGCTACTTTGGATAATAAAACCTGGAAAGCTGCCAAGTTCCAGGGTTTCCATGGCCAAGGGAAAAAAGAAATAGAAAGAAGAAAAAAGAGAATCTGCCTTTCACTCATCTCTTCTGCAAGGAGAAATTTGCAAGCATCACACTTTCTAGCCTGTGGGTCAGTTCTCAGATTGTCTTTCGAATTCTCAGTATCATTCTCCATCACCCAAGAAGTGCAAACTCTAGACCGAGAAGTCCATTCTTACAATGATCTTTACCACCGTCTCCAAATACCTCCTGTATTTGTATATACACCATTTTACAAGCCTTTTTTGTTTTCCTTAATAAATACAACGTTGAAGATCTTGTGTGGATAGTCTCTAAGTATTCAGGAATCAGTGTTCTGAGCTTTTCAGGACAGGACCCTTCACACTTAACTGGTTTTCACACTTCTCAGAGGTGTTAGTTTCGAGTCTACTGCAACATGACTGTTTAACCAATAAGATCATTCTGTGATTCTTAAAGATAAAAAAGCTTTGTTCCATATTCGTCTTAAATGAAGTTTGGTGTACCTCAAATAAAATTGCTAGTTTTGCTGCACACCCTGAAGCAATTGACAAATTAATTCTTTGTAATTTACCATCCAAATTCACAGTACTTTATTGCAATTACTAGTCAGATTTGGGTGGTGAGCATAAACTAGTACTGTATTAAAAGCTGAGACAAGGCCAGATTGTTACTTGAAATGAAGCCACATGGAAGCAGGGACTGAGAAATGGCATAGATGCTCTCCACCTCCTTGCTACCACTGCCCTCTAGCCATTCAGGCAAGCTTTTGCAACCCTTCCTTCCTTCCTTGTTATAATTTATGTCACACTT